ACCCAGAATGGGGCTTGCTGCACAAGCAATAGGGCTTTGTGTTTGGCTTTGGCCTGAAGGGCTGTTTCCCAAGCCCCCTGCTGCATGTATTCCTGGTGGTATCAGAAATTAGCTTAGCTGAACGTTTTAAAATTTTGTTGTGATTTTCATGATTACCCTTTCTTTATGGCAAGTGGTGATAATTTTCTGTTACAATGGAGATAAGTCATGTGAGTCATGAATGGGAATTCCTTTAAAGAAAATAGAAGCCCATTATCTGGATATGGCAGATAAGGTAGTGGTGTATGGACATAGCTGAAGTTTGGGAAATCTGATGGTAAATTCTACTTCCTTTGTAAGTTGTAAAGGTCTTGTGTGACAGCTGTCCAGCCTTTCAGGACACTGTGTTGTATAGAGTGGGCAGGGTGAATGGAGACATCTGGTCTGGTCTGTTTGGGTCACTGGTGTCTACAACAGTGGCTGGTACAGACAGACTTGGATTAATAAACTCAGGCAGTTGTTGCTTTTTTCTGTGACTTTCAAGTTTCAATGGTTGGAGCTTTCCTCTCCTTAGGAAATCAGTAAATAACTATGTCTCTCTCACCTTACCCAGTCCCTCCAAGTTGATTTTGAAGTCTTGTTTTTCAGTTTAATATGATAGTAGGGGCTGTGATTACTTCTCATTCTCTTTATATCCTAAAGCTCAATCATTAAAATGCCAACTCGGGGAGCCAGCCCAGAGTTTATGAGGTCAAGCTACAGAATCTGACTTCCCAGTTAAATGATAGTGTGCTGGGAATCCCTTTAGGGTCTTTCCAAACTAGAGCTGAGCTATGTTTAGCTTGTTAAGATAAAGAACTGGCCGGGGAGGGAAGATAATGGGAAGGAGGGTGTATGTGTACATGATTTATGGAGAAGAATCCAATTTTATAGAAACCACAGCCTAAATTAGCAAAAGCAAGCCTTTGGATTAAGATGATTTCTGTTGTGGTTGTAACATACCACAGTTTGATTTTTGTCCAGATGAAAACATTTAGTTTTCACTTCAGTAAATATTGTGGAGACATTGCCAGCTAATTCTGAAAAGTAATGAAATACAGCCTTGGCAAAGCGCAGATGCATTCTCCACTCCCGATTCCACTTATCTGATCCAAGTTCAGATTTTTCCCCCCTCACATTTGCTAATGCACTTGAATAATCAAAAGAGAAATCTGCCTGTAATTTTAATAGAAAACTGTACATTTGATATACTCCTATAAAATATTGATTATAAGCCCGCCACCCCTACCCCCCCCCCCAACACACACACACACACACACACACACACACACACACACAATCCTGGAAACATAGCAAGTAGTCCTGTGTGTCAGGCTCTCTCGCCGTCATGCATAGGGCTTGTGCACTTCAGCTCATTCTCAACAGGGACAGTCTCCCCCTGAGAATACCAGGGTGAGACTCAAAACGAGGCCTGCTGAGCCCTTTCTGAGACCCCCTTATTTTCACAATTTTACTGGGGTATTGCAGGAGGTAGTAGGTGAGCCCTGCTGTTGAAAGGGAAGGTTTCTTTTCAGGAAGCATTTTTAAGTTCTCAATTACCTCTCTTCTAGCTCTCTAGTCCAGTTACTTTTATCCCTGTAATTATATTCTCAGTTTCCTGAATGCTAGACCCATAACAAGCTTTTCAGATGTTTGCCTCATCTGACATTTGAAATGAAATTTTCCTAATAAATTTTCTAGAGATGACGTTTACCTCTTATATGCCAGGATGTATAAGTTACAAACTATTTTTTAATAACACACATACTTCTATCTTCAGATACCAAATATTAAATTTCTGTTGACCTAACATCATTATGATTATGTAATATGCCCACTCATCCATTCTACAATGAGGAATGTGGGATAATTTTCACCTGTGATAAATAGTCCAGACTTCTGTGTGCTGTTAGGATCTTAAAATAGCCTCTCCAATGTGTGTGTGTGTGTGTGTGTGTGTGTGTGTGTGTGTGTAGCTGTCTCTCTCTCTCTGTGTGTGTAGCTCTCTCTCTTTCTCTCTCTCTGTGTGTGTGTGTGTGTGTGTGTGTGTGTGTGTGTGTGTGTGTGTGTAGCACATTCATCCTCCTCTAAGCTTATTTGTAAATTAGATGATAGAGCTTTTATCTAAGGTAGGAAGAAATAAATATGTTTCATATGAATGTTATAACTAGGTTTGGCTTCTCAGATGCTTTCATTTTCTCTTTTATAGTTGAGGTTGTTATATAGTTACTTTCTAGGTATTAGCATATAATAGTCAGTGTTTCTCTGTCGCCTTGATTTTTTTTAAATATGAGATGATCTTACTGATTTTGTCTCCCTGAGAAAGATGCTGAGTTTGCAGTGCTGCGGTTTTTCCTGGCCTGGACTGCTAGCTCTGTCTCTCCATTACTTTGCAAATGCACATGCCAGTAGGTTCTTAGAGGGGTTTACAATAGCCTCCTGGTGACAGGACTTTGGAGTTCTCAGCATCTGAGGATTTAGTCTCTTCCACTTGCTTCAGTTTGGCTACAGACCCCTTATTATAAATGAAGAGCTCCTTCAGGTTCCGGAGACCTGTTCCCGGTGGGAGAAGCCAATAGTCCGTGAGGCTGCTCCTGGTAGGCAGGTCATGGGTTGGGAGGGGCCTCTTGCATGAAACCTGGAAGGAGAATTAACCACACCCGGGGAGAGTGGTGTTCCTGAGTGGCACCTGCCAGGGGTGAGAATGGGTGCCAGCCTAATATTTGAACTAACGGCCACTAGTAGTCCACTCACCTCCAGCCAAAGTTCATCATTACTGAGCAGTGATCTTTCTCCGCCACTGTCCCTTCTCCCAGGAGTCTTCCTTACCTTCATCATGCTAGCCTCTCCATTCCCCATCTGGTTTGATCCTGAGTGTAAGGAATGTGATTGTTGTCTTATGCTGTTCACTTAGCATTTGAGGTTTTTAAATATCCTCCACAGATTCTGTAAGTGGACGTTACTTCCTTCTTTCTCATATGTCCTAGGTGGATTTTACCTGATTCTCTTGGAACAGAATATTTTCATGAGTCTTACTTTCCCCTCTTTTTACATTACTTCCAAATGACCACAGTTGCAGAATTTATTTTATTTTCTGCTGCAGGGAGAAGGAAGAAGGCGGTGGGGAGGCAGGGGTGATGGCTTACTTCCTGAAATGCCAAAACCCTGCTTCTCTCCAACAGATGGCGGAGTCAGCTGTGGAAGTTATTGCAGGGTCTGCACAGAAACCTGCTCCTTTTGATACTAACCCAGCTTTCTGATTTCAGCCATCGGGCAGTGCATTTGAGGTAGAGTGTAGTAAGGCTCTTCAGGAGAAATTAAACATGGATAGTTTGATCTGGAAGGAATTGGAAGGGATTATTAAATCTATCCTCTCTCATTTTACCATAGAGAGAAATTTAACTGCTGAGTTCATAACTTCCAAGTGTTAAAGTTCCCACTGTGTCTTTCTGATAGCATGTAACCTGTATTGTTTATGTCATGTTACATGCTAGTATGAGTTGCAGCCTGTGATTGAATTTTTATTTTTTTCCACTCTAAACTCCATATATATATAATTTTTTAATCGATTTTTTAATAGAGAGCTATAAACATCGATGAGAAAGAAACATCGATCAGCTGCCTCTTGCACACCCCCTACTGGGGATGTGCCCGCAACCAAGGTACATGCCCTTGACCGGAATTGAACCTGGGACCTTTCAGTCCGCAGGCCGATGTTCTATCCACTGAGCCAAACCTGTTTTGGCTAAACTCCTTCTGAGTAAATAACAAAAGTTCCTTCTGCTTTTTCATAAGTACTTATAAAGGTAGATTTAGGAAAGAAGGATGCGGCAATATTGACGTACCTCTAAGTGGAGAGTCCTGACTGAAAGCTCTGATTGGGAAGCTGGGATGGGTGACATCCCATTTTCTTAGTCATCGTCAGTCTTGTAATAATTGTGAAACCATGTAGAATAAGAAAGAACATGTTGTTCCAGTGAAAATATAGCTAACTCTTATTTGATTAAGTGATTTCCCCCAAAGTCAGTTTTAAGAAACTTCGGTTGAAAATTTGCGACTTGGGGGGAGGGATGGATTGTGGCAAAGTATTGGAAATGGCTTCTGTTAAATTGTATCCAATACTGTTATCCACTGAGGTCCTTCTCTCTCCCTCCCCCCATAAATTCTTTTGGAGTTTCATTTTCACCCAATGGTGAGACCCTCATCACTTTTGGGGGTTTGAATATTGGAAGGTCATCACTGCAGCAAAGGGAAGGGGACTGGAGGCATTTATTCTATAGCATTTCTGCAGATGGGTGTTTGTTTGGTTTGCCACTCCAGTTCCTGCTGCTGTTGATCCATTCCCATCTTCTGTTGGAGCATATAGTACTGAATTTGGACAGGAATTGTTTTTACTATTACAATTGCGGTGTAAGATCTTCGTTTGGGAAGGAGAGCAAATTGGTTACTTATATCTTTATTGATGTGATCAGATTGTTAGCTTATTCACACTAAAGCTGGCAAGAGAGGAAATGAATCTCACATATTTAATTTACTACTTTTTCTGCTACTTGTTAGTATCTCTCCCAGAAATATTTTATGAGAAAGAACATTGAAGTTATTGTGGGCCAAACCCCAGAATAGTCTCTTGTCCTTAACACTGTGATCAGATGTTTTTATTTTATTTTATTTTTCTTGCTCAATTCAATCTTTGGTGGTCTTTCCCCCTCCCTGAACTATTCAGATGAAATTTAAAAATTTTATTTTTTTATGTTTGGTGATACAGCTCCTGCTGGTGTAGTTTTGCTTGAAATCTGTTGAAAGGTCGCAGATGGAGGATATTTCCTGGAGGGTATTTGAAAAACAAATAAAAAATGGCAGAGAGGAATACTTTGTTTTGTTTGCTCAGTCATGAGGATTTAGGAGTGCAATTTAGTAGGTTCTCCTTCTGGAAGGTTGAGCATCCAGCCTGTGTTGATGTGCCTCTTTCTTAAACCTCCCAGGTTCTCCTGCGCTGCCCAACAGCATGGTATATTTTGGAAGCTCTCAGGACGAGGAGGATGTCGAGGAGGAAGATGATGAGACAGAAGATGTCAAGACAGCCACCAACAATGCTTCATCTTCATGCCAGTCCACCCCCAGGAAAGGAAAAACCCACAAGCACGTCCACAATGGGCACGGTAGGATCAGTGTGGATTTTGAGTTAGAAAGAAAAAAAATAAAAATAAAAATAAAGCCCTGACCCCGGTGTGGATGAGTTGGTTGAATGCCCCATGCACCAAGAAGTAACCAAGAAGTTACCTCGTCACACACATGCTGTGGTTTTGGCCTTGATCCCCAGAAGGCAGCAGTTGATCATTGTTTCTCACATCATTGTTTCTCTCCCTCTTACTTCCTTTCTCTTTCTCAAATCAATGAAAATATATATTTAAAAAAAATAAAATCCAAAGCTTTGGGTGAGAGAGCTGGAACAGGTTGTCTGTTAGGAAGGTGAGATGACTGATAGCTTGTCAGTGGTAAAGGTAGTTAGTTCTGTATACTCCTCTAAGTGTAAGACACTCTAAGGGTGAAGAGATTAGTATTACAAGGTAGAGGCAAGTCTATTCTAGTTAAGTAGATTTTCAAGATGAGTATAGATATTGTTATGCTGTGGAAAGAATGATAAATTCCCTAAGAGCTGCAGATACTAGGAATCAGAAGAGATTCCATCTAATCAAGAGGGTAAAGAAGGTTTCATGAAGAAAGTTTTGTGATCACCTTACCATGATTTCAGCAGATGGAGCTAGTGTAGGAAGGAAACCATTGTTCAGCCTGTGAAATCAGGCAAATGCAAATATATTATGAACGAGACTGATTTTTCCTAGAATGTTATAGAAAGAGTAGGATAAAAGGTTTGATCTCTGAGAGAGGAAACTACTATTTAAGTTGGCTTAAGAAAGTGCCTAGTGGTTTTTCAACAGGGAAGTGACTTCATTGGATATGGGTTGTGAAGAGATTAAGCTGGCATTGATTATGAGGATTAGATAAAGGGAAATGACCTGAAGAAAAGGAAACATATTGGAAGGCAGTAATTGTAGGCAATGACCTAGCCAAAAGTTGGTCATGGCAATGTAAATAACAGAATACAGTACAAAAATGAGGAGGCACAGATGGAAATATGGCCAGGCGGTGTTGAGAGGACTGGATAGAGAACTGAATTAGCCTGGGGCGAGGGAAAGAAAGTAAAAAAATCAGAGTGAAGCAATGACAGTGGGGTAGGAGATCTGATGGCTGTTTTCTCTTGAGTTCCTATCTGGAACTCTGCTAGATATTGCTGCTCGTGTAGAACTCAGAGACTCTGTGAGGTAGGGAGCATTGTGTACAATTGGTAGAAAGTCACTGCTGCCCTTATTGATTGAAGGAAAGAAAGAAACATTTCTCATTTTTCTCCACGCTGTGCATGGTGCACCGGGTGTTTTTCTGGACTCAATGAGAAATAGAGGTCCAAGACAGGCACAGCTTAGACACGCTGGGAACCTGTCTGCTTCTCATTGTGGTTGGACTTCTCTACTTTATCAATTTAATGATTGTCTTTCTCACTTCTTGCTTTTGCTTGTTTTTCAAATGGTCTATAAGCATGGTAAAGATGAGACTCACATCTTAAAGATTTAGAATTTAGTTGGGGTGATGTGGTTAATAATCCCAGAGCATAAATTAAAAAAAAAAAAATGGTGACTTCTTTTTAACCTTTTAGGAAAAAATTTTGGTTGTGTTTAATATTGTTTTTAATTTGAGGGCGAGAAAGAAACAGTCAATTTGTTGTTCCACTTTTTAATGCATTTGTTGGATGATTCTGTTTTTAAAAATATTTAAAAAATAATAGTTTATTGATTTTCACAGAAGGAAGGGAGGAGAGAAAGAAACATTGATCTGCTGCTGCCTCTTGCACCCCCCCCCTCCCCCCCTACTGGGGATCAAGCCCACAACCCAGACATGTTACCTTGACGTTAAATCGAACAGGCAGCCTCCTGGTGCATGGGATGATGCCCAACTAAGCCACAGCAGTCTTGATTTATACAGTATGTGCCCTGACTGGGAATCAAACCCTCGACCTTGGCATATGGGGACAATGCTCTAATCAACTGAGCTACCTGGCCAGGGTCAGGATAAAGTTTTTATCTGAGTATGGTCACCAACTTATCTTGATAGTTGAAAGAGCTATATACGTGATTTGGAATGCAGGTATATGTGTAGAGATGACCCGTGAAAGTCTAGATAAACTGGAAAATGTGGAATATTAATCTAGTTGTGGAATGGTGGCACATTGACCCATTAGTTTGAGGGTCCACTTTGGGGTAACTGGGAACCACAAGGTAGCGTTGAGAACATGCGCCCTGCTAGACAGGAGGAAGAATTCAGATATAGAGAATAGGGAGCTATTGATGATTTTAGATGTGGCAGTAAGATGAAACAGATCAGGGTCAGAATGATTCCTCCAGCAGCAGGGTTTAGTCTGAAGAGAAAGGAGAGAAGACGAGAGTTCAAGGATTCCATCCAGCAAACAGCCTCTGAGAGCCTTGACTGGAGAACATACAGCAATACAGAAGAGTGCAAAGGGCATTTTTAAGTAGAAATGGTCAGCTTTTCATAACTGTGTGAAGAGGCAGGATTGAAGGTAATAGAACGGGAATTAGGGAGGGAGTTGATTTAGAGGTACCTAGTTAAGAACTTTATTACCTTTTGAGCTTGTGGTGGTGATGGTGAAAGACAGAAGAACTACAGAGAACAGGTGGGATTTATTATTGTGGAGCTGTTGGCTGAAGCTGTCAGGATGGATGAGCTTCCTGAGATAGAATGAAGCAAGAGGGAGACTTGTAGGGTTTTTAAAAAAAGAAAATATTGAGAACGTATTTAATCTTTTAAAAATAGAAAATCTTGAGGAAATATTTAATCTTGTAGTTTTACTTTTTTTGTTTAATGTGAATCAAGAGTAGTAGATATGAACAAAAACAGGAAGTTAGACTCTTGTCTGTCTGTGTCCATGTAGTAGACATATATTTCATCAGTACTGTATCAGAGCGGGCCTGTGTGATGTTACCCATTCGCTGCCTGTGGTTGGGCTGCTGAACTCCCAGTCAGTGGTAATCAGGTGGAGCAGTCCCCTGTGTGTGCAGTTTCAGTTAGATCTTCAGCTCCCTTCGTTTTACAGATTATTTGAGTTGCTGGTTGATTAGACAATTTTCTCTTAGATTCAACTTCCAGTGTCAAAATTTACGATCTTTTGTATGTGTGTATATTCTTTTTTTGACTTGTATTTTTACATGAGCTACGGGTTTATGATGTGAAGAAGCAGTGAGTTTCTGCAAGGGAATTACGTGAAGGTGGTGAGATGAGAGTGAAGTGAATTCTCACTAAGGCAAGTGGATAACAATTTTACATTGACAACTGTCATTGTCATAAATAGAGAACAAACATTGGCAGAGGTTACCATAACAGCCAGAAGTTGTGGGTTTTGTTTATTTGTTTTGTGTTGCTTTTTCCTTTGCTTTTGCTGAGTCTGATTTCTTTGTAAATGTAGAGCAGAACTCCTTAAAATTCCTTGTTATGGAATTTTAAATAAAAGGCTAATAGGCAAAGTGTCTCCTAGGGAGTTCTACGAGGAGAATGGAAGTTTGATCACTCACTATGACATGCGCTGACCATTACGGGGTGGCATGAAACATGGAGTGCATCAATGACACGTTGCAACCTCCCGCTGGCTACCTGGGGACAGGCGTGACAGGGATGGAGGTGCAGTGAGAATGCGGGGTGTCTGCCAAGCTCACTCTAACCCCCCCTTACTCTCCCCCCATCCCCCTACCACTCCGGGACACCAGGGCTCACAAACCGGGAAGCCCTCAAGCTCAGGTGCTGGGCAGCTGTGAGGAGCCTGGGCCTCAGCTGCCAAGACCGCAGGGGCAGGTAGGGCTCCCTGTGGGTTTGCACAGGAGCCAGTCTATGAGGCCAGCCAGGAGAGAGCGTGCTACCTGCTTGGGTTCTGTGCAGTGCTCCTGGGGGCCCAGTGTGCCCTGGTCCACAGTTCCGGCTGCACTCAAACTGCATCTCCGTGTGGGGACTCAGGTACCTTGACTTAGGTGGAGGGGGGTGTGTGGAGGCCCTGGGCCCAGGTGCAGCCCAGGCCCAGAGGTCAGATGGGACCTGTCCTTCTACACCAGTTGTCACACTTCGATCGCTGGTCAGGCCTAGGAAAAGCACTCGTGCCCAAATTTTGTGCCTGGGGCCTCTAATGAATTATTAAACAGGATGTTTGTTTAAATGTGATATATGATGACATAATGAAACAGGTAACTTCTAGAAGGTTCACTTGTGATGGGAAGTTCTCAGTGGAAGTTCAGAAGGGGTTTACCTGGTGTTGGACCAGTACCTTTATCTTTAAAGAAAGTGGATAAATGGTAGGTGATTTTGTATATGAGAAACATGTTAGACCCAGGCTTACCCAGGACCTGCCCTTGTTGGTTCTGTCTGGGATTCAGAAGAGACTGCCTTCCTGTTTAGAAAATTGAACCTTTTTCTCAGTTTCTGAGGGCACCTGCTGAGCTTCAAGCTTGGTTAGATTTGCAAGGTGCTGATGCCTAATTGCCTCCTAATGATGTGGGCTGGTGTCAGAAAGCACCTGAGTCGTGCACGTGAGCAGTTGGACTTGCCACTGCCCAGAATGCATTAGAAAGCCCAGAGTGTGACACTGTAACATCAGGTGACCCATGATGCTCTTGTCCTGCATCTTGTGCTGCTTCTACCCCTCACTGCCATTCTCTTATTTGAGGGGATGCCTGATGAGCGTTGGCATCGTTCTTGAGATGAAAGTGAGTTCTCTGCCTGTGAGGAAAGAAAAGGTGGGGCCCAGTTTGTGAATGAGATAAGGGCTGGGCTCTTCCTTTCCCTGCCGTCCCTTATTTTCCAAAAAGGAAAACCTAGAGACAGATAATCTGCATTTCCTTTTGATTTCTGATCTAGGTGAAGAATGTGCAAGTGTTAAAGTAGATTTTCTAACAAGAATAACCTGGATGAGGGCATAATAATTGTGTGATGTCAAGCAGGGCCTCAAAATTGTTGACTCTTCACACAGGAAAGTGCAGAGCAAACTGCTGTTGCTGTTTTGTGTTTCTCTGTAATGGATTTCTCTTGGTGTTTTTCCCTACTT